CTCCCTGGGGTTCTCTAGCTTAGCCATTGCTGGGGAAGCAGGCGCCAGGCCTGAGAGCACCTCCCGTGGCCAGAGGCCCCTCCGCCTGCAACCTCAGCACCCTCAGTGACGCCGCACTGTTTCCTTTCCAGCCTGCGTGGGACCTGATGGGCTTCCCAAATCTGTGAGTGGCTCCACCCCCACCTGCCCTACCCCACCCTCTTGCGAGCTTAGGGAGGGAGCGAAGGAGCATCTCCACCCCACAGGGCAGCTGTGGGGCGCCCGAGTGTGACATGGACGTGTCGGTGGCTGGTGTGGGCTTCCTGCCCCCCCAATCTGGGCCACTCGGGTACCAACCCAAGGGAGGGGGTGGCCAGACAGATGCCCAGGGTTGACCTGTGCCTGTCCAGGAGCCCTCAGGGACCCTCTCTTGTCGCCCTGCAGGAACCAGAACCCACAACTGGAGGGGCTGGCGGAGGGCTGCTTCTGCCCCGGGGACCAGATCCTCTTCAGCGCACACACGGGCACCTGCGTGCAGGACTGCCGTAAGCTCCTCCACCTGCCTCGGGACAATTCCCTGGGCCCGACCCAAGCACACACAGGGTGGGAGAGGCCTCCCAGGCCCGCGACATGCTCTCCCCTCTGCCCAGCGGACCCCTGTGACCTGTTCTGCGCCCCCAGAGGCACAAGATGGCCCTATTGTGGCCCTGAGCCCTGCAGAGCCCCCACGGTCCCCTGAAGCCCCACTGGGAGGCTCCGTCCTTGTGTGATCCTGTGGTGGTCCCTTGCCTGAGCCCTGCCTCCCACCATCATGGCTGAGGCTTCCATGCACTGACAGCTGGGCTCACGTTGCCCTGGCCTGAGCTCCAGCCACATCTGACACCCTGAAAGTTCTCCAGGGCCTTCCATCCCACGGGGGAAGCAGGCGCCAGGCCTGAGAGCACCTCCCGTGGCCAGAGGCCCCTCCGCCTGCAACCTCAGCACCCTCAGTGACACCGTGCTGTTTCCTTTCCAGCCTGCGTGGGACCTGATGGGCTTCCCAAATCTGTGAGTGGCTCCACCCCCACCTGCCCTACCCCACCCTCTTGTGAGCTTAGGGAGGGAGCGAAGGAGCATCTCCACCCCACAGGGCAGCTGTGGGGCGCCCGAGTGTGACATGGACGTGTCGGTGGCTGGTGTGGGCCTTCCTGCCCCCCCAATCTGGGCCACTCGGGTACCAACCCAAGGGAGGGGGTGGCCGGACAGATGCCCAGGGTTGACCTGTGCCTGTCCAGGAGCCCTCAGGGACCCCCTCAATCCATTCCAGCCCGGGCAGCAGTGGATCAGCAACTGCCAGTCCTGCGTGTGTGATGAGGGCTCAATGTCAGTGCAGTGCAAGCCCCTGCCCTGTGAGGCCCAGGGTCCCCCCCCACCGTGCAGCCACCCCAGCTTCGTGACCGTGACCAGGCCACGGGCCGACAACCCCTGTTGCCCTGAGACCGTGTGCGGTAAGACCCTGTGGAGCAGAGATGCCTGGCGTAGGGTGAGGGGAGACAGAGCCGGTGCCCACCAGGGGCCTGTGGGGTGGGCACAGGAGAGCAGAGGAGAGCCACTGTGTCCTGGCATGACCGCGGCAGGGGCACTCAGCAGAGATGGCCTCCAGGTGCATTATTCTCCTCCTAAACATGAGGCTGGTGACCTCAGGCCTGCCCAGGAGTGGCCCGGGGACGTGGGAAGCAGAGGGGAGGTGGCCAACCAAGGGGCCTGGAGGGAGCCCCGAGGGGCTGTGAAGCAGTCAGGTCCTCAGGGAAGAGCACGCCTGCGACTTACGCTGGGAACAAGTGGTCGGGAGGAGGAGTGAGCAACGCCCAGACAGAGCCCTCCGTCCTCCCGCAGTATGCAACACAAGCACCTGCCACCAGAGCCCACCCGTGTGCCCGCCAGGGCAGGAGCTGATCAGCACCCAGAAGGAGGGCGACTGCTGTCCCACCCTCCTCTGCAGTGAGCGGGGCTGGGGCGGGACTGGGGCCGGGCTGTGGGTGTCCACTCACCCGGGGGTAGGGGGTGCAGGACGGTGGGGGCGCTGGGGCATGTGCATCCTGCCATCGGTCGTAGGCTCAGCTCCCTTTCCTTCCAGGACCTCAGCTGTGTTCCTACAATGGCATCTTCTATGGGGTAAGGGCACAGCAGTGGGCGGGTGTGGCCCTGGGACTTGAACATGTGTGTGGGATGCCCCGGGGCCCTCTGAGCCCCTCTCCTTGTCTTGACACTCCTGCCATGAGGGCAGATCCGCACAGGGGCCCTGGGCAGGTCAGAGCTGGAACATGCTTGGGACTCGGGGGCACCTGACGTTGACAGTCGTGAGTTCCACACCTGCTGCCTCTGAGAGGTCCCTTCAGGGGCTCCCAGCAACGGCCTGGGGGCAGCACACTCCTGCCCGGGGTCCCTGCCCGCCGGATTCCTGCCCCCACGGGTCTCTACCCACCAAGATTCCTGCCCATATGGGGTCTCTTCCTGCCCGGATTCCCTGCCCACCTGTGGTCCCTGTGTTGGTCCCTGTGTGCATCGGCTCCCTGCCTGCCTGGGTCCATGTTCAACCAGGGGTGCATCCACGCTCCATTTGAGGAAGGAACAACTCCCTGCGGGCCCCAACAGGTCATGGGGAGGAGTCCTGGCCCTGGTGCCCCACCGGTGCCCTCAGTGCCACCCTCCCACCCATTGCAGGTTGGTGCAATCTTCCCAGGGGCCCTTCCCTGCCACACGTGTACCTGCCTCTCTGGGGACACCCAGGACCCAACGGTGCAATGTCGGGAGGACGCCTGTCGCAATACTACCTGCCCCCAGGTGAGACCCGAGGCACCCGCCCCCAGGGGAGCCCACAGCTGCTGGGCAGACCCAGTCCCGAGTCACTGTTATCCCGGCTCCCTGGGGTTCTCTAGCTTAGCCATTGCTGGGGTCTTGTTTGTTCCCAAAGGGAGGGTATGAAGTAGAAGGATGACTGAGGGGGGCTGGGGGTGGGACAGGACCTGCAGGCTGCTGGGGACAGGGTCTGGGATCAGGTTCCAGGAAGGCAGGGGTAGGTAGAGAGAAGGTGCTGGAAACCGGGGTGAGGCTGAGCCAGGATAACTGGGTGGGGGCAACTTCTTTGGGTATAGACCCAGGCAGGGACAGGGCTAAGGACCCCTGGGCCACTGGGGTATAGACAGGAGGGCAGGCTGGGCTGGGGCATGCACTGGAGGAGAGGGTTAGGGCCTGATGCCTCTCCTGTCCCCACAGGGCTTTGAGTACAAGAGAGTGGCCGGGCAGTGCTGTGGGAAGTGCGTGCAGACCGCCTGCCTCACGCCCAATGGTCCGCCAGTCCAGGTAACAGCAGAGGCATGTGGGGGCAGGTCTCAGCTCCCTCCCTGGAGACCCTCACCCCCAACAGGGCTCCGCACAAGAGATCATCGATACTCAGCTTCCACTCTCACCCTTGCATTTCAGCTGAACGAAACCTGGATCAATAGCCGTGTGGACAACTGCACCGTGTACCACTGTGAGGTCGAGAGCGGAGTCTATTTGCTGACCCCACAGCCTGCATCCTGCCCAGAAGTGTCCAGCTGCAGGGTGTGTGCTGGAGGCCCCACCCCTGCCTGGAAGGCCCTGCCCCTGCCCCTGCCTGGGAGGCCCCACCCCTGCCTGGGAGGCCCCGCCCCACCCCGCCCAGCCCCTGCCTGGGAGGCCCCACCCCTGCCTGGGTGGCCCCTTTTCCCCAGGAGAGAGGCCCCGCCCACAGCCCTGCCCCCTGTCTTTGGCCCCCCAGGGGAGCCTCAGGAAAACCGGCTGCTGCTACTTCTGTGAGGAGGGTAAGTGGAATCCACCTGCCCACACCAGCTCCAGCTCCAGCTCCAGCCCGTCGCTGCCCATCCATTCCTGCCAGACGTCTGCACTGGGCAGTAGTGTGATGCCAGCGTCCAGACTCCACCCTCGGTCCTGGAGGGCCCTGGGAGGGGTGGTCCTGTGGGGAGGGTCGGCCCAGCAGGTCCAGGCCCTCAGAGTGAGGGTCCGGTGGGGCTCTGCATCTGCCTTTCCTCCTCCCAGACTCCTGTCAGGTCCGCGTCAACACGACCGTCCTGTGGCACCGGGGCTGCAAGACCGAGGTCAACATCACCTTCTGTGAGGGCTCCTGCCCTGGAGAGTCCAGGTGAGTGCGGTGGGTCCACCCTGGCCCGTCAGTTGGCTGGCACCCTGCTCTGGGTCAGGGGGGCCTACGCCAGCTCCAGGAAGGAGAGAAGGAGCTCCCCAGCAGGGCTCCCCCTCTCCACAACCATCGTGGAAAGCCTGGGGCTGCTCTCCCCAGCAGGGTTCCCCCTCTCCACGTCCATTGTCCATCGGTAGAAAGCCTGGCCCCGGCTGAGCTGAGCCACATGGCACAGAGCTCCCAGCTGCGAACCCAGGTTTAGGTGACCCCCGGGGAGAGTGGGCGGAACCAGAGCCTTCTGTAGAGCCCCCCATGACTTGCCGCTGTGGCTGGCTGTCAGCAGGAAGGGCCAGAAGGGTTGACCCTTAGCTAGAAGAGGCAGGAGGAAGGGTCAAGGACTACTCAGAGTCAGCAGGATTGGAGGAGCTGGTTCAGACAGGCGAAGAGCAGGCCACAGAAGACAGAGCCGGGAGCCAAGGGACCCTGGGGCCCAGAGCTGCCCGTTCTGAGAAGGTGGAGCCCCAGGTGCCCACAGAGCAGGCCACTGTGGACAGAAGGGGACGGCCGTCTGGCCCAGGACCCCAGAGGCCCAAGCGGCAGTGTACCTGGGCAGAGAAACGGCGGGGCCAAGGTGGCCGATGTGAGGGCCCCCCTGCGTCCACAGGTACTCGGCAGAGGCCCAGGCCATGCAGCACCAGTGCACCTGCTGCCAGGAGAGGCGGGTCCACGAGGAGACGGTGCCCTTGCGCTGTCCTGACGGCTCGATTGTCCTGCACACCTACAACCGTGTGGATGAGTGTGGCTGCACGCCCTTCTGTGTCCCTGCGCCCATGGCTCCCATATACCCCCCCGGCTTCCTGGCCCAGGAGGCCACTGCCGTCTGAGGATATTCTGCCTCCATCCCCATTCTCTGTCCACCTGGAGCCAGGACGTGCATTGCCCGATCATGAAAACCTTGGGCCTGCTCTGCGGAGCCCCCCGGCCTCTGTGTGTGGCACCCCGTGCCTCTGTGCTCCTGCTGCCCACCCTGTGGGTGAAACCGGGCCCCGGAAGGGTGAAGGGCCAGCAGGACCCCTTTCAGGAGGGCACCGCTCAGGAGTCCTGTCCTGGGAGAGCCTGTGGCCCACCTTGGCCTTGCCCCTCCTTGATGTCACTGGGATGCCCCGGAACAAGCTAAGCATGTGCGGGCCTGTGTGTCCCTGCCATGGCCAGAGTCCCCATGCAGCACGGATTCCGGCTGGCCACATCCGGCCACTGGGGCACAGACAGGCTGGTCCAGGCAAGGCCGGGTGCTGCCAGGAAGCTGCGCTAGACCTGCCCGCTGCAGGGTACCTTGGGGCTGAGGTCACAACAGCCAGGTCAGAGAGAGGTTGGCATCCCAAAGCCCCCTCTGCTCAACCCAGCCCAGTTTTGCAAATAAACGCTGAGCATCGAGTATGTTTCCTGTCCTGATGTCTTTTCTTGCCTACCATCTCTCCCAGGCTGTCTCCTGTGAGCTGCTTGCCTGGGGCCTGCAGGCTGGAGAACACATCTGGGGGACAGTGAAGGACCCCCAGCAGCCACTGAGGGGCCAGGAAGCCTCTGGGAGGGCCAGGCAGGGTGGGGGACAAGGAGCCACTTGGTCATCCACATGCCCCTGTGGGCACCCTGGGAGTCACTCTTGGGCTGTGGGAGCACTGCCCAGGGGACGAGGGGCAGGGGGCTGCCAGGACCCAGAGGTCACCCTGGCTGTTATTTCCAGTATGGGGGATTGTGTGAGGAAACCAGCTCATGCAGGAAGATGGAGGCAGTCAGTGGGGCAAGCAGGCAACCAGGCCTGGTCAGCGGGGAGGCAGCCACCCGCCAGGGCAGGTGCATGGAGCCGGGCGCAATGCTGCCAGGCTGGTGCTGGGCCCTGCGGGGCCGCTTTTCACCCCGTCCCATGCACACCTCCCTGGGAATGCTTTCCTTGGGCCACTTGCGACACGAGCCACACGTGAGCTTGCTCGCCTCCCGTCCCGCCTCCACACACACAGGCAAGGCTTTCTGCCTTTCCTTTCCATTGCTCTGTCCAGAGCAGAGAGCACCCGGTGCAGATGGTAGGGTATCGGGGAGCCTGTGGGATGGGTGGGGTTGGCAGCTGGGGCTGCAGGTGTGGGCAGGGAAGACAGTGAAAGTGGTACCAGCCAGGACCTAAACACGGCGGGATGGAGGGAGCTTTGGACACAAAATGACCTCCTACTGGGCAGGGGGCGGTTACAGGCAGACTGTGACCTGGGGAGACGAGAGCAATGCTCGTGCCTGGCTGCGGAAGCCTCTGCTGTGGGTGCAGAGTGGGGCCTTCCCCACACTGGGGCCTTCCCCACACTGGGGCCTGCCTCTGCCCTCTGCCCTCTGCCCTTGGGTGGGTCCTGCCCTGCCCAGGAAGTGATGCTATCATGCTGTACATTTACAGAGCTCCCAGCTCCTAGGGGCCTGGCCAGGCCCCTGCCAGTGCTCCAAAGCTCCAGCCTCTCCTGCCCTCCTGGCTGAGGCCCAGCAGGGCCGGCCACCCCAGGACTGGGCTGGAGATAGTCAGGGGACCTGACAAGGTTGCAGGTGGGCTCCGGTGGGTGGTGGGCTAGGATGGTCACCACTGGGGTGAGCTTCTGTAGGTTTACCCTGCGTCTCCAAGGCTGATTCCCTGGAGGTTGCACCAGGTCACTGCCTGACCTGGGTCTGCATTCAGCCATGTGTAAACAAATGGTTTCCTAAACCTCAGTCATTCCCACGGTGCGATGGTTTCCTTAGACCCATTTATGTCAGTGTGTGGGTACAAGCACCCCTCTCAGAGGCCCGTGCTGTGCTGTCCCTGTGCCCCAGAACCGTATCATTCAATCCTGACAATACCCTGTGTGGTGTCTGCTATTGTGTCTCCCACTCCACAGATGGGAACACTGAGGCACAAAACAATGAGAAGGTGTGATTCTGTCAGGGGGAAAGCTGGGCTCACACCCAGGCAGCCCGAGTCGAGGCCACACTCAAAACCACAGGGCTCTGCTGATGCCCCAGAGCAAGGAACTACAAAAATAAACACAGTGAATACAAACCAATGTTACTTAGACTTTAAAGATGTTTTAAAAGGGATTTCTGGTTTCCAGATGGAAGAGTGGGCATGTCTTCCCCCACAGACACAAAATCATGACAATGATAGAAAGAAACTTTAAAATAGCAGCAACCGAAAACAGGAAAGTAAATCATCCGCACCGCCGGCAGATATCCTGAAAAGGAGACATTTGGGAAGTGCTGAGAGGGGGGCCCAAAGCCTTTTGTATGAGGCTGTTCTCACCCTGCTATAAAGAAATACCCGAGACTGTGTAATTTATAAAGAAAAGAGGCCTAACTGACTCACAGTTCTGCCTGGCTGAGGAGGCCTCAGGAAACTTACAATCATGGCAGACGGCGAAGCAGAAGCAGGCACTTTCTTCACAAGGTGGCAGGAGAGAGAATGAGATCTAGCAGGAGAGATGCTAGATGCTTAGGAAACCATCAGATCTCGTGAGAACTCACTCACTATCATGAGAACAGCCTGGAGGAACCACCCCCAGGATCCAATCACTCCCACAGTGTCCCTCCCATGACATGTGGGGATTACAGGGATGTATTAGTCTGTTTTCACACCGTCTTCATACCCAAGACTGGGAACAAAAAGAGGTTTAATTGGACTTACAGTTCCGCATGGCTGCGGGAGGCCTCAGAATCACGGTGGGAGATGAAAGGCACTTCTTACATGGCGGCGGCAAGAGAAAATGAGGAAGCAGCAAAAACGGAAGCCCCTGATAAACCCATCAGATCGTGTGAGACCTATTCAGTATCACAAGAATAGCACAGGAAAGACTGGCCCCCATGATTCAATTACCTCTGCCTGGGTCCCTCCCACAACGTGTGGGAATTCTGGAAGATACAATTCACAGTGAGATTTGGGTGGGGACATAGTCAAACCATATCATTCTGCCCCTGGAACCTCCAAATCTCATGTCCTCACATTTCAAAACCAATCATGCCTTCCTAACAGCTCCCAAAAGTCTTAACTAATTTCAGCATTAACCCAAAAGTCCACAGTTCAACATCTCATCTCAGACAAGGCAAGTCCCTTCTGCCTGTGAACTTGTAAAATCAAAAGCAAGTTAGTTACTTCCTAGATACAGTGAGGGTACATGTATTGGATAAATACAGCTGTTCCAAATGGGAGAAACTGGCCAAAACCAAGTGGTTACAGGGCCCATGCAAGTCTGAAATCCAGTGGGGCAGTCAAATTTTAAAGCTCCAAAATGATCTCCTTTGACTCCAGGTCTCATGTCCAGTTCATGCTGATGCAAGAGGTGGGTTCCCATGGTCTTGGGCAGCTCCACCCCTGTGGCTTTGCAGGATACAGCCTCCTTCCTGGCTGCTTTCATGGGCTGATGTTGAGTGTCTGTGGCTTTTACAGGCTCATGGTGCAAGCTGTTGGTGGATCTACTTTTCTGGGGTCTGGAAGACAGTGGCCCTCTTTTCATAGCTCCACTAGGCAGTGGCCCAGTAGGGACTCTGTGTCGGGGCTCCAACCCCACATTTCCCTTCTGCACTGCCCTAGTAGAGGTTGTCCATGAGGGCCCCATGCCTGCAGCAAGCTTCTGCCTGGACATTCAGGTATTTCCACACATGTTCTGAAATTGAGGCGGAAGTTCCAAAACCTTAATTCTTGACTTCTGTGCACCCACAGACTCAACACCATGTGGAAGTTGCTAAGCCTTGGAGCTTCCACCCTCTGAAGCCACAGCCTGAACTCTACATTGGGCCCCTTTCAGCCACAGTTGGAGAGGCTGGGATGCAGGGCACCAAGTCCCTAGGTTGCACACAGAACAGGGACCCTGGGCCCAGCCCACAAAACCACTTTTTCCTCCTGGGCCTCCAGGTTTCTGATGGGAGGGGGTGCCATGAAGGTCTCTGACACGGCCTGGAGACACTTTCCCCATGGTCTTGAGGATTAACATTAGACTCCTTCCTACTTAAGCAAATTTCTGCAGTTGGCTTACATTTCTCCTCAAAAAATGGGTTTTTCTTTACTACTGTATTATCAGGCTGCAAATTTTCTGAACTTTTATGCTCTGTTTTCCTCTTTAACCAAAAAAAAATTTTTTGAGATTGAGTCTTGCTCTGTTACCCATGCTGGAGTGCGGTGGTGCAATCTTGGCTCACTGCAACCTCCACCTCCCAGGTTCAAGTGATTCTCCTGCCTTAGCCTCCCTAGCTGGGATTACAGGCATGAACCATTATGCCTGGCTAATTTTTGTATTTTTAGTAGAGACAGGGTTTCTCCATGTTGGCCAGGCTTGTCTCAAACTCCTGACCTCAGGTGATCCACCCGCCTCAGCCTCCCAAAGTGCTGGGATTACAGGCGTGAGCCACCATGCCCGGCCTGTTTCCCTTTTAAAATGGAATGTTTAACAGCATCCAAGTCAGCTTTTTAATGCTTTGCTGCTTAAAAATTTCTTCTGCCAGATACCTTAAATCATCTCTCTCAAGTTCAAAGTTCCAATCTCTAAGGCAGGGGGAAAATGCCACCAGTTTCTTTGCTAAAACATAACAAGTGTCACCTTTGCTCTAGTTCCTAATAAGTTCCTCATCTTCACCTGAGACCACCTCAGCCTGGACCTTATTGTTCATATCACTATCAGCATTTTTGTCAAAGCCATTCAACAAGTCTCCAGGAAGTTCTAAACTTTCCCCCATTTTCCTGTCTTCTTCTGAGCCCTCCACACTGTTCCAATCTCTGTCTGTTACCCAGTTCCAAAGTCACTTCTACATTTTCAGGTATCTTTTCAGCAATGCCCCACTCTCGGTATCAATTTACTGTATTAGTCCGTTTTCACACTGCTGATAAAGACATATCCAAGACTGGGAAGAATAAAAGGTTTAATTGGACTTACAGTTCCACATGGCTGGGGAGGCATCAGAATCACGGCAGGAGGCAAAACGCACTTCTTATATGGTGGCAGCAAGAGAAAAATGAGGAAGAACCAAAAGTGGAAACCCTGATAAACCCATCAGATCTTGTGAGACTTAGTCACTATCACAAGAACAGTGTGGGAAAGACTGGCCTCCATGATTCAATTACCTTTGCCTGGGTCCCTCCCGCAACACGTGGGAATTCTGGGAGATACAATTCAAGGCGAGATTTGGGTGGGAACACAGAGCCTGACTACATCACGTTTCTTTATAGAAAATGGGCATTCATCCTGAAACCACCAAGCAGCTCAGAGATGCCAACATCCTGAAAGAGAGCAAACACTCTGTCAGTAGAGAAAGACAAAGGCCATGCGCTCAAGCTATCAGGTTTAATAGGATGATTTTATTTTTTAAGATTAGAGGATATGGAGGACAGATCTGGAAATCTCAACACTTTTTCTAGTGAGCCCCAAAAGGAAAGAGTAGAGAGT